GTATATATATATATATTTGTATATATATATATTTGTATATATATATATATACAAACACAAACAAAAATATAATATAACTAATTGCTAAACTATTATAAGAAAGTGTAATGAAAAAATAGTGCAAGAATCCCATCAAGGCCTAAAGAAGCTCAAACTTTGTTAACTGAGCAAATTATATCTATACCATTTAAAACGTTACAGACATAGTCACACTTTTCCAAAAGCCACATGGATCGCTGCCTCACACCCGCAGACCAATTGGTGTAATTTGAAGTAACCAGTCAAGGTTGGAACTATGATAGGAGGAAAAAATAGGGAGACAAATAAGTCTCACCGATAGTGGGAATCGTGGTGACGATTTCTCCGAGCTTGAGCTTGTAGAGGATGGTCGTCTTACCAGCAGCGTCAAGACCCACCATCAAGATCCTCATCTCCTTCTTAGCGAAGAGGCGGCTGAACAACTTCGTGAAGGTGAGCCCCATTGTTCCTAAGCTGCTACATCCAATCCAAGATCTAAGTAAAATATCTTGTAACGCAGATCAGAAGATGTACGAATAAGGAACCACGAGAACGGGCGCCGGATTCGGATTCTGAACCGACACGAACGAAGAAAGCTCTGAGAACTACACGGACGTCAAAAGATGCAGAGATATGGTTTCGATCCAGAATAAGTGCAGAGGAAAGGAGGAAGGGGGAGAGGAGAACGGATCAAAGATCCAAGGAGGCGATGCCAGATGCGGAGGAATGGAACAGATCAAGGGATCATTTGAACGAAACGGGAAATCTCTGCAAGAAACGAGCAGAGGAAAGGAAAGGCTCAGTTACCTGGAGATCTACACGGGAGGCAGAGAGAGAGAGAGAGAGAGAGACCGATTCGGTGGGGCGGGTGTCTCCTCCCGCTTCGCCTCTCTCGTACTCCGAACTCGGCGATGGTGGAAGGGAGAGGAGCTGTGGCGTGTCCATTTATTGGCATAAGACTCTGGCACGTGCTACCGTGCGGTTTCCTTCGTACGGAGGCAACCAGCATCACGTGACTATCTAAACCTGCAATTGGTCTCCGTAATTTGACCGTCATGAATTATTACGATAATAAAAAATATAAGGCTTATCAAGTAGTTGATATTAATAATATTTACTTCAAATTCTTCCCAAAGCCCAACTCTTTGTTTAAACCAAATAATTATCGAGTTCAATATCCTTTTTTTTCGAAAATGGAAATTAATTCGAGGCCACATATCGGATTTCGAATTGGCAACCCGTTAACTCGTCTCCAATCCGGTGTTGCCAAGTAAACATCCAATAGCTAGTCTCCCTCTCCCGTATAAAACCCTACTGCAGCGTACTTTATCCGGCCTCCATGCCGCCCGCAAAACTGTCGCTCTCCACCCGCTTCCAAAAACCCTAATCCCGCCTTCTGTTGCCACGCCCCTTAAAACCCTAACCCTTTGATCCGATCTCGGCGCAATCTCCGATCGGGCGACGATGGACGCTCGTCGACCGCCTCTCTCCACTGTGCTAGGCGCCTTGCCCTAAATGCCAGATTCTGTTCTTTGTGTTTTCTGATCTCTCTCGGATTAGATTTGCCCCAAACTCATACCCTGGCGACGGAAAGCGACTCCGCTGCGCCGGCAGCGGGTGCCGGCGTGGATCCCGGAAAGGTGGTGGCGCACGAGCCGGCGGCAGCGAAGACTGGGCGGTCGCCGTGGAGGAAAACGACAAGTTCAGTGGATGGCGAAAAGCCAGATGACCCGGTGATGGACGCAGAGTCATGGCCCACGCTTGGAGATGCCAGGGCCAGAGGTTCGCCGGATTGTGCTGATAAGGTGACTCCTGCTGCTGTGCCACCACCTATGGCGATGGGCAATGCAGGTCCAGCTCCATGGAATGTGCCGCCTCCACCACCCCCTCCTCCAGTTCAGGTCAGTCTTTTGACGCTCTTTATGGTGTAATGTATCAGATCTTGAGTATTACACTTAGTGACAGAGTCTATTTTCTGAATTCATCATTTTATTTTTTTAATTCCAAGAATGCTAATCTCAAAGAATATATTTCCAAGAATGACACTCTATTTCTGGTCTCATTAACTGCTAGCTTTTATGCTTTTTACATATAGTTACCTTTAAATATTAATTTACATCGTTGATGGCATGCATCTTGTGTGCCACTTTGCTATAAATTGATTTATCCACCTGCATGGTATTTTCATTGTAAAATCCTGTTCTGGATTGCCCATCATGGATGCTTTCTGCGAGTATAACCAGATTAAGCTACTAAAGCAAACCAAGAGAAAGGATTGAAACATTAAGACTAACTACCATGTGATGGAACATGATTCTGAGTGTTTATGTTGTTGCAAATGTGTTGTGCTAGCCCATGCATGCGTTGGTTTAGTACATGCAGAACATTGCACTATACATGTTGCATCATTCAAGAGATTAATACTTAATGTATGTTTTACTGTTAAAGTAAGTACTGGCATTAAGGTTGAACAGGTTTCTCAGCTCCAAAAATTTTGTATCTGATTTGACTAGCTAGTTACCATAGTTACTAGTGATTTATACAATCTAGTTGAGTTCAAAATCAGGTGCGACTAATTACTAAAATTGTAAGCATATAGAGTCATCACATGATGAATCCATGGTTAGGTTTCTGCAAATAAATGTCAAATTTCTGTGGGAGTAAGAAGTTTAAAATTACATATTGGTTTTACATGAAAAGGTAATGGATGTTAAAAAGTACTTGAAATTATATAGATCATGGGGAGCAGGATATGTAACACCTTTATATACTTATGCTTTTGCTGGGTGGGGTTGATAGTGCGACCTATAACTAATTTTGTGTGGGTAGCAATGCTTTTATGATTTACAATCACTGGTGTGTGGTTCTTTGCTGGTTGCTGAGTAACTGTGTTAATTTGTATTTGTCCAATAGCTTTGTCGGTCACCAATTTGTGTAGGTAAGGGTGCAATATATCTGATGGAATTATGCTTGCAAGTTGCAAGAATATATTTCTTTAGTTAGATCCTACTTTGAATAAGAAGATAAAAATTGGGCCTGCTCATTTCTCAATGTTTGCATGTCTTTTCAATAGGGTTGCAACTTGGTTGAGTTGGGTTCCAGCTACTCCCAAGCCTAAGTTGACTATTATAACCACTTGTCAAAACCTAGCTTATTTGAACTTTGAACTTTGGATCTCCAACCCTAGCTGAACCTGACCTTCTTGATTTTTATGATTCGGTAATTTGGTTATCACTTGGGCTGATTCTGCTTGACTTGAGCTTGAGTTATGGTTGAGTGACTTGAGTCACACAGAAAGTTTCCTTAATCCTTTGACTGATTCAGTACGTGACTCAACAAGGTCTGCTCATTATAAACTGTATGCGGATGCACTGCAAGCTGTTCTCCAGTTTGTTCAAGAATCAAGATTCCTGTGTTACCATCCGTGCTCTGGTTGATAGCCCAAACAATGGTCAGTAGATGTACGATATATTATTTAGCATAAGAATCTACAGGCTGGCTAAATATGCTTGTTGGAGGAGAAATAATGGAGAACAACATTCATTTTTTTTATGGTTAAACAAGAAACATATATTCCATTTCTATACATTGTAGCTTATATATGGGAAAGTGTATTTCATTTCTGTTCAATTCAGCTTTGTTTGTAAAAATTGACGATTGTTAGAAGTTTACAAATTTTTGTACCTTCTTTTGTGTGTTTTTTATGTACTAGTTTGGTGATTAGTTTTCATTTTAAAGATATTGTCTGTGAGCGTATTCCTCTTTCTTTTCAGGGGTCGATGGGCATGCGCAAATCTGGTGGATTTGGAAGTAACAATTCTTCCAAGCATCACTCAGTGCATTCTAACAAGCATGGTCCCAGACGTAACACACTGGTTAATGGTGGGCCATCTTTTCCTGTACACTTTGCATACCACCAACAACCAGGGCAACCAGTATTCTATCCAGTTTTACAACCTCAAACCCTGATAGTTCATGATTATGCTTATCAGACATGCCGCACACCATTTCCTAATGGTCAGCCACACATTGTGAAATCTGGGGAATCTCATATGCCAGTTTTTGTCCCAACCGGTCAAGCTGGAGGAAATGAGGGAAACAGAAATCTTCAGCCACTACCACGAGGAGATCCAAGTAATTGGCATCCCGGAGCTGGATATGGTGGTAGACCATATAATGTTTGTGAACCTCCTAACAATTTCAATCAAACATGGGGCAATCATCGGGCTTTTGGTCCGAGGGACAGCATCAATATGCCACAAGCTATTGGACCAAGAACTTTTATTAGGCCAGTTCCACGATTTGTTGGTCCTGCTCCTGGATTCATTAATGGACCTGGTTTCACTGGTAATATTTCATCTAAATGTTCCCTTTTTTTTTTTCTTTTTTTTAAACTGGAATCATATTGCTTTTTTGCATAACTAATCTATGTTGCTCAATCTCAGGTCCTCCCCCTCCCATGTATTATGTGTCTCCTGCTCCTCTTGAAATGATGCATGGCCCTCCTCGCTTTTCTTCACATCCTTCTCCTCCTGTCTATCCCAGTCTAACACCGGAGATGGCTGCTTTGAGAACTAATATAGTCAGGCAAATTGAGTACTATTTCAGGTTGGTTTTTATGTTTGCCACGTGTCATTTGATCTAGTGTTAATTCTTCTATCACATGGGCTGCTGCTCTGAGTTGTTGAACGTAAGTTTGCAGTTAAACCTGGTATGCAAAGTTGCAAACAGGACATGTATGTTTCTGTCTGAGACCTTCAACATGTGCACTTCACATTTATGTAACTGTGCTATCTCAACATTAGGTTGGGATCATTTCATGAATTGAACTTGTGTGATGTTTTTATGGTCAGAGCTGTAGATGTAGTTCCACTTAAAGCAAGTCATCTTTGTACCTTATTTTTCTCTTTTGTCTCATTGCTCTAACTGTAATATTCTTTTGTAGTGATGAGAACTTGAAGACAGATGTTTACTTGATATCATTACTGGATGAGCAGGGATGGGTACCTATATATAGAATTGCGGATTTCAATAGGGTACACTTTATTTTGCTGCTAAATATTTTCGTGTGATGCCATATGAATAAACTTTCAATGGTAAATAGATTTGCAAGATGTTGTTACTGATAAATGGATGGTCCTGCAGGTAAAGAAAATGACAAATAATATACCCTTGATTCTGGATGCTTTGCGGGGCTCAAGTTTGGTAGAAGTCAAGGTTGCAGTAGTTATTTTGTAGTTTTAGAAACAAGATTTGCTATTTTATAGTTAATTTTGCTAATTTTATCTGGTCAAATATGTAAAACAAAGACTATGAATTTATTTTATGTTTTTAGGTTCTTATTCTTATTTGAATTGGCAGGATGACAAAATAAGGCGGCGTGGTGATTGGTCTAAGTGGGTTAAGGTTTCAACTCATGCTACATTATCTCCACAACCTCAGCCCATGGAGAGCCAATCTTCTGTCAGGGTGGAGAATATTGATACTACTGAAACTAATGGGCATTGCATTTCTCACAATAGCCATCAAGCTGTTACTGAAGATAATGATGAATATTCAGATCAAACAAATCATTGTCATATAAAGGAAACTAATAAGTATTCAGAATTTATTACTGGGGACATGCCTACTAGTGATGGAAAAATAGTATATGATAGAGATAGCAAGAACAACAAGGAGGTAGAATCTGGATTATTTTCTGAGGCCGGACAAAGAGATCCTTGCAGTGGTTGTAGTTTTACACTTGGTAATGACTCCACTGGAAGCTATGTTGATGTCAATATTAAATTGGGTGATGCTGTTAGCTCCAGAAATTCAGAGGATGCAGCCAACCTGTCAAGTAATGATCCTAAACTCGAGAAAATTTTTTTCCAAACAGAGAGTTCTGGCACACAAAATTCAGGTTTTGATAGTGGTTTCCTGGATGAGTCTCTTATCTTCAATGCGCAAAGCACATTTATGCTTGATGAGGAGCTCGAATTAGAGCAGACAACAAACGAGATGGAACATCTCTCTTTACGCAAAAGGTAATTAAGAGGTTTATTCTGTTAAGCGCTCCTTTTATTAAGGTGCCTTATTCTGCTTCAAGTTTTTCCTTTCCTGAACTAGCTTTTGCATACCTCATCACAAATTATCTATTTGGCTTGGATGCACATCATAACATTTTGTATAAGAATATTCAAATGTTGCACTCAGTTGTTATCAATTTTGTGGTGCAGAATATGATAGCATTTAGATACCTTTGACAGACACTTATCTAACTAGAGTACATCTATGTAGCTGATAAGTCTTGGTACTTCTTTTCTTGGCTCAGTTGTGTTTTATTATCACAGCAAAACACTAAGAAGTCATCTATGCACATAGCATTATGGCATGGGGAATCCAAAGCGAGTGGAATTTTTAGTCACCTTAAATTATTTTTTTAGTTTTAAGACGACTCGCTATATTTTTCTAATTTTTCCTTAATTAGTCTTTATGTGTCCTTGCTTTTGAATTATGCTCTGAAGTTGGCCTGTGAAAGTATCTAATTGCATAAGTGGTGCTTGGCTCTAGATGTATCAGGGACAATCAACTTCATGTTGTGAGTGATTGAACAATAAAAGTACCAAATTCTGTGATCTTGCAAGTTCATGTTGTAGATATCATTGTTTAAGAAGTCTTGATACAATGTTGTTTAGATGCCTTGTGATAGTAATGACAATGCTCTATTTTGAATTATGGTTTTCACTTTTACTAGTTGAATTTTCTGTTCTACTACTTATTCAATCCTTCTCTCCGATGATGGAATATACAACAGAGTTGATGATGAAGAGGATGAAATGGATGTTAATGATCAAGATGTGCATAGACTCATAATTGTGACACAGGCAAGATTACGATAATATTTTTCAACCAATTTCTCTAATTTTTCACACTGTCATATTTGCTTCTCTGATCCATGTTATAAAATTACATATCAAATCTGCTTTTCAGGTGGGTAAAATTCATGTAGTTATTAACTGTACATCAACCATTATAAATTTGGATAAGTTGGCTTGATGATTTTCTCTCTGGGGCTGCCTATTTGTTGACTTTTTTTTTCTTTGGTTAAGTATTTTATTTTAATATATTCTGAAACGTGTGTTAGAAATTTTAGTTCAAATTAGATACTTGAAATTGCAGATAACTGAAAACTGTCTTGTGCATATGAAGTGTTTTTTTTCATGTAGGTCTTGTACCAAAAGTTACAAGTGTTCTGAAGTTAGGAATTAAATTTCATTCACTACTTGCATACTTTTTCCTTTCAGACCAGTACAGTTTGTTGCTCTAGTATGGCATGCTGCAGTTAAAAAAATAGTCGTATTGTTGATATTCTTCCATAGGCATGTTATGTTGAAACTGTTGAAGTGGTTGAACAACTATAGTGTGGTCCATAGACTGAAATACTTAGTTCCATGCTTTGCAGCAAGAGGTGAGTAAATTGCATGATTGCTATTGTCATGCTTAGTGGTGAGGTTGGTGAAGTAAAGTTTGAATTGGTTGTGTTTCATTGGTTTCCACGTACATCCAGTCTGATTTTAAGTTTAAAGGGTTCATTTAGTGGTCAAATAGCTTTGTTTTACCTTGCTGTTTTTATGTGAAAACAAATGCATTGATTATTTCCCAGCCATATAAGGATGAAGGAACACCCAAAAATTTAACTGGGAGAGAAATGGAAAAAGCAGAAATTTCTCTTTTATCCCTTCTTTTGAAATTAAAAGGTGTTCTTTTCTTATTTATTGACGGTAGTCTTGCTATATTGTTTTTCTTGTTTGTATCTTGCGGTTACATCCTTTCTCCAGGGTGTCTTTGAATGTACAGAAAATTTCACAAAACTCATTTTCGTTTGGAAATGTTTTCCATTGTTTGTTTGACAGTGAAACCCGAAGATCTGGCAAGTACTTTCCAGATTCCAAAGAAAATTTGACTTCATTTTTCAGATTTGTCTCAATGGAAGATGAAAAGAAAACATCTGAGAATCTTCTCATTGGCTCTTCAATGCATTTTTGTGGAAAGAGAATAACTTTTTTTTTTCTACATTCCAAATACAATAAAAGATTCTTTGTTTTTTGCATTTTTCCATGCAACAAACATGCCTTAGATCACTTTTCTTATTTTTGTAAACATTGTTCTGCTTTGTAAGTACCTCAATCAAAGAGGAGAGACCTTTGTGTTTGTATTTTAGTGTTTGATGAAAAGAAATGAATTTGTACGTAGCATCTTTAGGGTACATTACCTGTCCTTCAATTGGAGCTCTAATCAGGGCTGATTGTGGAATTACATTATTGGTTTGGAACTATTTCTTTTGGTATTTGTTAGCCTCTGTTTTTCACTTTAAGTCACATCCTTAGAGATGGCAAATGACATGGACTGTGACAATATTTGTACTCATGTTGGTACACTTCCTTTTTGTGAAAGAATGCTGCATGCAACAACAGGAGTCAGTAACATGCAATTTTAGTTGTGGCTGGCACGTACATCACTCACAGTATATGGCACATAGAACCTTGGTGAAGGGCTGGGTTATATCACGTCAAACCTCACTATTTTGAAAATAGGCCATTTTTCCTGACCTCTAATGAAGACAGTCATGTCAGTAGGTTGAAACTGATTTTTTGCACCATCCATAATCATCAGTGAAGCTTCTTCCATAATTATAGGGTGTAATGTGTATCAAATAGTATTATTTTAAAGTCACCATGAGTTCATGGATATGACATATTGGCGTTATCTTCATTGTCAGCCATATGCAGTTGGTGCCAGTTGCTACCCAGGGAAAACGTATATGAAGATATCTTGACTTTCATGTTAATTTCGAATGGACAGCATATTATGTTGGATCTGGTTATATTGAAACTGGTGCTTAAGATACTTGCTTACCAAAGTCATATCAACTAACTAAGCAGTCAAGTTTCCCCATCTGGATCTATTTGAGTCAGGTTAACAGGTTTTTACAAACATCTCATGGAATTTTTGTAGTTTTCCAGTCTCAGTAAAATTTGCTTACTGATTGTTTCCAGGTTCTGATGTTACCTGGTGAATTACTTTATGGTGTAAGTTAGTAACCTAGTCTGACCACAAATTATAGCTTAAGATATTTTACATGTGAGGTTATTGTTAGGCTCTACCTGCATCATAAAATTACACGTGACATTGCCTTTTGTCATGTTATTTAATCTGCATGAAAGTCCAAGAAAAGTTTATTTGCACTGATACCTTTATACTGTTTGAAAAATCTAAGCTTGCTTCAAGTCCAAATCAATAAAACTGAACCATGGGAACTCTTAGTATGACTAAAGTTAATAATCTTCTTAAATTCTAAAAAGGTAATATTATGGTAAAAGCTTAAAAATAATCATCCGAACTCTCTTGACAGTATTTGCACTGAGGATGAATGTGGCAGCTTAGATTTAAATTATTGGAAATTTCTTGATAATTTTTTCCAAGTATGAAGGATGGAAATTTGTTTCTAGATGTTAAAAGCCAACCTTCAAACTTCCTTTCTCTTAATTAAAGATATCAAACTTTTTGCTGCGGTATTATCCCTCTGTTGCATTGGTGTAAACACCAAGTAACAACACAAGTTGGTTTTTAAACGCCATGGGGACCTTTAAATGTTCACTTGTGGATCAAGGTCATTTGAATTTCTTTATCAAGCAATTTGCTTTGTTGTCAATCTGCTGCTTTTGTATAAACCAATGTCTTGTAAACTAACTCAAAATATTCTATTTACATCTATAGCTTTGGATAGACATGATGTTTGACAGTAAATTCCCATAGGTCAGTTGGCAGAGTTGGCATGTTTAGTGGTTGTACTGCTGTATAAAGTTTCTGCAGTAATGATGGATATTTGCAGGATATTAGGGGTGACCACGATGATAGGACTGGCTCAGGGCAATCGGAGACAATATCGAATGAACTTGCATCTGCTATCAATGACGGACTTTATTTTTATGAGCAGGTAGTTTTTTTTGTTTTTCTCAGTTGTTGAAGTTGCAGGTGATATAAGTCAAATAAATTTGTTGTTGTTTGATTCCTTTTATTTATCATTTTTGCCATAAGCATGATAGTTTTGTACCATCTGAGTTTGATATTGACATTTTTTGTTTATTGGGTCAAGTTCAATTGCTCTTCTGTAGAACTTTAGTCCTCTGATGCAGATGTATAAATGTCTTTGGTGTTGTGTAACTAGCAGGAGTTGCATGCCAAACGATCTAGTAGTCGGAGGAATAAGGTTGGAACAGTGAATAAATCTGGGGAATCTAGAACTTCCATCACTGCATCCTCATCTTTGCATTTGAAGGCAAACATAAATATTGGAAATAATGCCTCTGAAGAGGCTGGTCAAGCTAATTCCCGAAGGCGCCAAAATAAAGGCACCAGCAAATCACACACCTCACATAAACGGCGTCTTTTTCCAAGCAATTTTAGAAATTATGGCAGTGGACGAAATCATCATGGAATTGTGTCTGAGAGCCCACCAAGCAACTCGGTTGGATTTTTTTTCGGATCAACGCCACCAGAAAATCCCGGGTTAGTATTGCTAGTTTCTGTTTAAATGGTACAGCTAGCTTTATTATCATGTCTTATTGATCTTTGCTTCCAACTTTCACATTCCAGATTGATGTCATCAAAGTTGAGTTGCTCTCCACATAGTTTTCTTTCTGGGAGTCCACCTGTGGGATCGATGCCAAAATCATTTCCACCATTTCAGCATCCAAGTCATCAGCTTTTAGAAGAAAATCAATTTAAGCAGCAAAAGTAGATGATTTTTCATTAGACCCTTAAATGCTTTAACACCATAATTAATGTTTATTTCATTTGTGCTATTTTATGATTTGTTATTTATTATATGTACCCATTCTCATTCAGCTGTTCCTTGATGAAGGTATCTGAAGTTCCACAAGAAATGTCTTAATGATCGTAAGAGACTAGGAATCGGTTGCAGTGAGGTAGGTTTTGATGATTAATTAATTTTTTCCTTGATGTTCATGATAAAAATGTGGGTTCTAAAGCTACCTTTGACCTGGTTAAGACTGGTGATGACATCATTTGCTAATGGCATATGCCATACAACATTTAATGTTTTAATTGATTTGACCTTATTGGGGTTAATGGAGTGTGTCATTGTCCTTAGGTTCCTGATTTATCCTCTGAACATTGTACTAATGTCCTGATGATTCCGTTTTCCCTGCTGGCACTTGTGCAGCTTCCCATATATGCTGAATTATTTATGTTTCAACTGTATATTTTATCTTAAATTCTGTTTGGGTCTTCGACTAAGGTATACTATATATTTTATTTGTGATGAATTGTATGAAGTATCTGTTGTTTTATTTGCAGGAAATGAATACTCTCTACCGGTTCTGGTCATATTTTCTCAGAGACATGTTCAACAAATCCATGTACGATGAATTCTGTAAGCTCGCAATGGAGGATGCAGCTGCTAAGTATAATTATGGACTAGAGTGTCTCTTCAGATTTTATAGGTTTGGCTGAATATTATGTCATGAATATGTTGGAACCACAAATTTCTGGGCTTGAACTTTTTGTTTCACAATGCTTTATTTTGCATGTTGTGATTAATTTAAATTTGGAATAATTCTAATTGTTTTCTTTACTCTTTTTTTTTTTCAGTTATGGGTTGGAGAAACACTTTAGAGATGATCTTTATGATGATTTTGAACAGCTTACGCTTGAGTTCTACAAGAAAGGCAATCTTTATGGTCTTGAAAAATACTGGTAATATGTCTAATATTGCTACTGTCAGTTTGTTTTCCTTGGTTGCTAACGTTTAGTTATTTTTTGCTTGCTCCTGATGTGTAGCTCATCCATCTCTTACATGAGATATACTACATACCTGTGTCATTTGTGTACTTTCTTGCTTGCTTGAGGAATTTATGCTATATTCCATGTTATCTTGTATGCTAAAGTTAGTAGCTATGATATCTTCTCTCATTATTTATTACAATTCATTGGTTTACCAGTATATTAGGATTTGATGTGAGAAGACTGGCCCTGCATTGTCTAAAGCTTGTTTAGGGATATTGTGGACTGATCAAAGCACAAAAGAAATTTATACAAAGAAGTTGCATGAGCTTCTGATTGATTTTCTGATGGCTTGACACAGCATCTTTAAATTCGGAAAGATGTGTTATAAATTTATTGACATAAATCTTGCAGGAAATTACATGGAACTTTTAATTTATAGCAACTTTTTTCGCTATATGAAGAGTTTTTTTTTTTAATAATTAAAGAAATGGTGTATTTGTTTCTCATCAACAATACATGCTAGAAGAGTATACAGTAGTTATAATACCTGAAGCTCATCGATTTTTGTTTGATTTATTACTAATTGCCAAAATTTTCATATATTAGGGCATTTCATCACTACAGAGAAGATCGCGGCAGTACCGAGCCTCTAAGGAAGCACCCCGAGTTGGAGAGGCTTCTTAGAGAAGAGTACCGCAGTTTGGATGATTTCAGGGCTAAGGAGAAGGCAGACAAGGTGTCCGGGAAAGAGTGTAGCAGCAGCAGAGGTGGTGGTTCCGTTGACTGAGAAATCACACCATGGATAGCCGGGCTGGTGTAGGTTCTAGCTGCTTTACTGTGCCCGATAAGTCGTCAGCCTCGCCTGTTGACTTACTTTTTGCAGTGGTTCATAACTACTCCACCCCCGGGAAAAATGCAAAAAGAAAAAAACCAGAGAGTTGGGTTCAGAGGCCCTGTACATGCATACATGTGGAGATTTTTGGGATATCCTTGCCGGTGGTAAAAAAAGTTGGCCGGGTCAGGAATTCTTTTCTCTCCAGCCCGGATTTGTACATAAGGAGGATAAGAACTGTATCTGGAATTGTGGAAAATGACCAATAAGAGATTTGAATCTAGGCAAGTCACCAGTTTTCCACTGGAGATTTGATACATGCCGGTGCTGGTTTTCCAAGGTTTTATCATCTCTCTCTCTCTCTCTCTCTCTCTCTCTCTGTGTTTTGGAACCAGGGGTTGGCAGCCTATCCTCCATCTGCACAAGGAAGCCTGGTGGTTTCCTTTCTCGACGTTTGTTGGAACGATGGGTTCATGCATGCAGCAGGCGACGTTTACTTCGATTCGACATGAGCGTGGCTACAGAGGTCGAAACGAGGTGAGTATTTCATCCTACTATGTCTTGTACTAGTTTTATAGGATACTTACTGCAACCGAGGACGATTAACATTTCGATCCATCCAATTTCTTCTCTCGATTTCTGAGTTTATGCTTTCCGTCATAGATCAGTATGAGAATCCCATATCACACAGCATTGGCAAAATTATAACATAAAAAATCGGTTATATTCTAAATATCTGAGAGCTTTGTACAGATCATGATGAACCTGCCCCGTGGTGTGGGTTCCATAGAATTCGAAACGCCTCAGAGTCGTTTGTCTCATTTAGGAGGCGAGGGCGGTGAGCAGACTCTGGATGGTCCAAACACTTTTCTAATTCTGAGTAGATGATCATTCACTTGGTCAAACTGCCCCAGATGACGGCCCGATCGACCCGACAAGCACTTGGTCAAACTGATCGGCACATTGGCCGAGGTGCATTAACGACCTGCTCGGGCTTAGTCCTTCACGTCACGCCAACTCCAACGTCAGACGCTACCAGGAGTACGAGCCTGCCCCCTGCAAGCGAGAACAAGGTAATAGTAAACTCCCCTATAAATATCCTCGCAGGAGAAGGGAACAGGAGGAGAGAGGAAAAACGGACCAAAACACTTCTTCATCTGAAACCCCCTCCACATCACTAACTTGGTCGTCGGAGGGGTCGGGCTAAACGCCTCGGCCCGACCTTTGCGCAGGCGCGAAGCCGAAGGTCCCCACCGGACGCGCAGGCAAAGAGTTCCTGCCCGGAGGAGATGGCTACACTGTCCCGATCGAACACCGCACCTGACCGCCTCAACGGGCTCGAGGAGCGCCCCAGGGAGATCCCCGTCGTCCGGACCCGAACCGAGCCGCGTCGGCCTCGAGGCCAAGGCTCAAAGTTGTTTCCCGCAACACATACTTCCTGTATGGCAGCGACACACTTTTCTCTCTGCTTTCTATTCTGATCTAAAATAATCTCGTTTCCAATGGATTTGAGAAGTTCGAGAACGACAAAAAGCTAGAGAGACTCGTCGAGATGGCGAAGGAGAGGGTCAACCACGGTTGATGTTTTTCTCCTCTCTCTTTTTCTCTCTCTCTCTCTCTCTGTGAGAAGTTATGGTGAACTATATATCATGCCTACCAAAGAAGAAGATAAAACGGAGAGCAAAACCCTCAAAGAAAAGAAATCATTCAAACGAAGAGGAGGAGAAGAAACAAGTGATCCATAACGCGAGATGGCCAGCCCAGACAACATACTCTTGTAAGCCAGCCAGCGAGCGTCGGGCGATCGAAAGGGACGTCATGGCATCCACCATCTCAAGTACGCAAACAACATCACCATCCAATCGTCGAGCTCGTCCTCGTCGTCGTCCCCCGCACCGCCGCCGCTACTCTTCACGGTCGCCGGCTCACGAGGCAGCAGGACGTCCCGGCACAGAGGGCACGTCGCCCGCCGCCGCACCAGCCACCGGTCAAGGCAACTCCTGTGGAAGAGGTGCCCGCATCTAAGCTCCCTTATCTCCTCGCCCTCCTCGATGTCGCACAAGCAGAAGACGCACTCCGCCGCCTCGTGTGACCCGTTCCGCGTCGCCGGTGGATGGACGTCGTGCGACCCCCACGCGAGTTGAGCTCTCGCATGCAGTTGAATGATCCTTACGAGGAAGAAGAGCAGGTTGGAGAAGAGAATCGACATCAGAACACACATCAGCAGTCCCATTGGTTATCTGCAGGGTACTGACGACACCGGGAACGGAATGCGGGAAGGATCTCGTTTTCTTTTTTTCCTTTATTGTCGTAGGTCCATGGTATTTACTACTAATCCGACGTAGAATCACTACGTGGGACCGACCTTCTCCTAATGATCCGGTTCGAATGTTGGGCAATATATATATATATATATATATATATATATATATATATATATATATATAGACAATGATTCAAATCTTTGCGTAACTTTAGAGGGGGGTAAATACAAACTTTCATCAGTAATTTTATTTACCTTTTTTTTATAACTAAGTTGTCGGACCACCTTTCACACGAGTCTGCTCGCCGAATCGACAGCGGCAGCAGTGGTCAAGTGTTTTAAGGTTGTCACGTCGAAAGTGCCGGGGCTTGCAGTCTGTCTATTTGGCGACTCAACATTACTTCAATCAATAACTTGACGCGATTGACGTCGTCGCTACCGATGCACCGTCGGCTGGACAAGGGGAACCAAGAGGGTGAAAGCCACAGGTGGGGCCACTTCCAACACATCGGGGAAAGGAGACGTGGACGGCTACTTCAATCCTGGTGCGGCCTTTATGACTCGGACGAGGATTTAGGCATCGGATAAGCACGGGGGACTCGGGACACTAAAGTCGGGGGCCGGTGGTGGAAAAGAAAGCGAACCCAAATTGATGTATGCATCATCACCGTCCGGTCCGGTTTACCGTGCGGGACGATGATGGTAGATTACGTGCTTCATCGACAGAAAGCAGACTCGCTAACTAAACTATTTAAACTCACATGCATAATAATAAACTCATTTGGCTTTAAACCGATTTAACAAACTCTCTATGTTTCAGAGGGTTAATCACATAATATTATTCTGTATAATTAGTTACATTTAAAATTTTGATCCTTATATTTTCAAAAATTATATTGAGATCCATACAACTTGCTACGAAGGTAACACGTTAAATCCTATTGCTCAAACAAAATTTTTTTTTTCTTGATTTTTAATCTTATAAAATTATATTTTCAATCCTGATCTCAATATTTCATCTACGTGATAAGCTCCAACATAAAAAAGTTCATTAGGTACAGTAATTGAAAGGTCGATTATTGTTTCCTCAAAACCTTCATCTTTCATGTTAAAAATAACTCGACAACGAACTCACCGGCATCCACAACCATCATCTATTAACTTGATTAATCAATGATCACGTGACCTAGACTCATCCAATCCATAACAAACCGATCGAGATCTACTCCCATATCGGATGTGGGAGTTGGCAGAGGTGTTTCATGTCGGTGCATGATACCCATGCAGTCAATAAATAAAAAAGTTTGAGCGGCTGATCCTAGCTGTGTCTGTTATGATATGCTGTACACCACCGGAATTGAACATCTACTTGTATCCCACGAGACTTGCAATGAATCTAAACAAATCGATATGCTATAGCAAAATTGAAATAATGATGCAGGTTAAGAAAGGTAAGAGAGATAGGAAACGATTACCCGCCTTTGGGAGGGAGAGGTTGCGTGTGAGGTCTGAGCTTTCACTTCTCAACTCCTGCTGCAGCTGAACAACACAGACATTAAATTGGAAATTTGAGAAAGAAACAGCAGTAAATTAAACCCAGCAATCGGATTGGAATTGGAAAGGACCTGTTTGACCAAACCACTATCCCACCTTTGATCTGTGCCGAGTTAAGATCCGGGTGGAAGGAGGATAATTTGGCAATAATTTAATCAATAGACATAAGAAACAACAATAATCGATAATGTCACAGTTAATTAGCTTTTCCAAGCACTGTTTACGGCTTATATTTTAGTCAATCAAATTAAGAACAATCAAATCAAGATATCTCTCTGAATTTGTGGTACCTCATTGAAACTTAAATCATTATTTCCCCCATATTTGTTTACTGAACGAAGCAGCATAATAGTTTCAAATTTTCAATGATAGAATGCGGACGACCAAGTAGAGAAAAGAAGATGGCTAAAGATAAGAGGCTATTCCTGGAAACATTGTAGAGAAGAGAGATGCATGGATGAATTTTACCATGCAATAAACAACAACAGTGAGCCTTAATTAGCCAGGAGGCCAATTCATCTGTCTTCCACCGAGAAGATGTACGTGTAGATGATACACCGATTGACCTACATTATAAAAAGAAAAAAAGAAAAAAGATGAACCGATGATAGAACAAGAGGAACCAGAATGAGTTCTCGGTCAAATACAAACGATTAAAGGATAACATACCAGCATCATTGCCATCATTGATGACAATCCTAAATCCATCTCCAAGTCCTTCCTGCTTCGCTACCAGTTTGGCAATATATAGCAGGTAGCCAAGTATCTCTACATGCCTCTCTTCAGCCTTTTGATGATGGCACAGAACACAACGGTAAGGTTAGTCGACAAAAGAAGTATGGCCTGCCACTTCCTAGAAAAAGAAATGACAACCACCATGCAGACAAAGACAGTAGAGAAATGTCCTTGTTTCATTTCAAAGTTCCTTCTCTTACATATATCTTGCTCAGAAGTTCTATGCTTAATCCTTAAGTAAAACATTTAAAGGTATAAATATCAAAACGTATAGACATTGATAATTATTAAAGATTCATAAAGTAACACTTCAGTTAATATGCATTCCCAGTGATCATGGAGAATTTATGAGTATTTCACAAAGTTAGGAAGTCGGTAACACGTAAGTACTGCAGTTGCCATGGATTTTAAAAACTACATAATCCATGTTTTGCAATAAAAAAGACGAATTCCTATAGTATACATATTCATGCAGACAAACATTGAAAACCAAATTTTCTTAAAAACTAACTCTTGCAATTTAAAATATGCTATCAGTACCAGGAGTTATAATTCCAGCCTGAAACAGAATTTACAAACAAGAAAATAGATATTAAAAGTAAAGCACAACCGGTAGTATTTTCACTTATCCAATTAGTCACAGTTACACAAAACAAATGCCAACAACCATTAACATATTTTGATGTAGTTCTGTGTAGGCATGCCAAAGAAACAGTTTATTGGAAAGTATGAGATTGTCATGACAGGGAAAGAAGCAATTTGTCTTTAGATACAAGAAGAAGGTATGACTTTAAACTTCTCTAAAGCATCTTTGACTGCTTGGTACTTACCATCCATTTTTTTCCCTGACAACAACAACACAACTTAACATAAAATGACAGTTTAAATATCCATGTTCTACTCCATTAAGTTATTTTTTCTTACGGGAACAGACTTGTATCATTAGCACTCATATGATAAATAATTCTACTCTTGTAATGCATATTCTCGCACATGATCTTTTAGTATATTGGTTACATTGTAAGTGCTTTTGGCCAATTAACTATAGGAGCAACTTGATTCACTGATTCGTCAATTAAATTGATATACTACTCACCTTTGAAAGCCCACTCAACCCATCTTTAACTTTTGGAATGATTAATATATGTGTGGGAGCTTGTGGGGCGATATCTCTGAATGCAAGAACCTGTGCAAGAACATAAATACAAAAATATTAGTGATCATTTATATAGCACACATCATTACTAGTTGCTCAAGGAGAAAACAACTGACCCAGAAGAAGCTAACTGCAAATGCAGGACAACTAATTGGTGACTAAAAGTACAAAGGGGAAAAAAAGATCTTATACTGGTAAGTGACAGGACTGCTCTGGCGTGATCAACACGGTCATTCTTGCTATGGTTCTGGAAATCATATAGCATATTTGTCGCTACAAAATCCACAAAAATTGGTGGCCATTAAATAATTAGGTAACCGTCGCCCTGGCTCTAAGCTTGGCTCAATGCTGTGTGCAGCCTGCCACTGAAATTTGAAGATGCTCAACTCGGATAAGAAATCAACCCACTGTCACATGAGAGCATCAAGTCATTATTTTAAAGAAGATCCTTAACAAAATATGGTCATAGGGAACCTAGCAGACACTCTTCAGCCAGGATAATTCTATGGTACATATCTTAAATTCTTGCTAGTGTTAGGACTACCAAAATCGTCCACCAAGTTCCCTATACTGGTAGGAAAAGACACATGTAGCCAACCCCAAATAATTGGGGCATCACACAAACAAGAACATAACTGATTCAAGCAAATGAAACATGACATCTAAGTCCAGCTTAACCAATGTAATAGCATTCATTTGAGGCCTTAGCAATTTGCATTAATTTTCACAAAGCAACAACAAGTGGTCAACACGAATTTAAAGGGGGTCTCAGAGATTGAGCATATAGAAGAAGAGCAAAACAGTTTTTGCACCTTGTCATCCTCATAAACAACGGTGGACGGGATCTCCTTCTTTATAATCTTGTCAAATCTGCATCAAGATGAATCACATAACATAGATTTTAGGTTCTTGGGAGAATCCTTTTTATCATCTTTTTCTAGGAACACCGACAGATGAAGATCGGCGTCTTTCTTGACCGACCGAAAAAAACAAGCAACCCCCGAGAACAAGAAATCTGTAGATAGATCTAAAGAAAAAGGGAGAGAAAGAAAGAAAGATCCACTTTGACATGCATGAATGAAGGTAAAGAAAAGATTCGAAACTATGACGAAATCAACAAGAGAAACGACATTGTTGTGGGTGCTTCCGTCACCTCCTTCTCTGAATCTGCCATCGGAGAGGGGGAGTATGAGAAAAGAATGGTTCACTTCCTTCGGAACCATTCTTCTTTGATTGCTGATGTCTGGGCCGGACAACGTGGACCGGCTAATAGGCTTCCGGTTTGATTGGACTGACTAATAGTGGATTTGGGTTCGCCAAGCCCGAAATCCGATATGATTTCGGCCGAAAAATATAAAGGAGTTGATGATGCATTCATCGATGTTCACATTTTTCGTAATACGTTGTCGTATCATTTTTCGGGAGGCAACAAAGACGTCGAGGGTATCGATTGTGCTTTGTTCTGTTATATAATATTAACGATTACATATAGAACAGTGATGATATGGCGACTAGGATGATGATGATGATAAGAAAATACGAAATGCATTCATTTCCTGCTTCTCGATTTGGTTAATCATCATATATCAATGACTAGGACATGAAACAACGCCAACAACTATCTCCGAACCTGTTCGCGAGGTGACGGAGCCAAGTGGGGCCACGACGAAGGCGCTTCCTTCGGTCGTTGGGGAAAGGCGCCATCATCGGCCGCGACGATCGCGCTTCTTCCCAAGCTTAAACAGAGGCTGAGAACCCCCCCCCCCCCCCCCCCCACCTCTTTTCATCCGATTCAAGCCTAACGAACGAGTAGACGGGAAGACTCGAGTGCGTGCTTCCCCATGGCGTCTCTTATTCTCATCCTTTCGGAGCTCTTCCAGCTGAAGGAGGAGGCCAAGTTGCTCGCCGACCGTCGCGCGTCCAGCAGCTGCTTTCCTCGCGAATCCATTTCCGCCGCTACCCCCACCTCTGGGAAAGCGGGCAAGGAGGTCGTGGCCAAGGCGAGGAGGCCGTCTTCGAGGATTGACGGTGGCGACGCGTGGGAGGAGGTTCTGAGCGAGGCGAAGGTTTCTGTAGAATCGATTTGGCCGTAGATGACATTTTTGTGATGAGTGTTGGTCGGTGTAAAGTGGTTTCTTCGAAGAAGAATTAGGGACGCCAACTTGTCTAGAAAGAAAGCTTTTTGTTGTTGGAATTGGAAGTCAAATTTATGATTAAACACAGGCCATTCTGAGCGGGTATATCGAGTACAAAAGGGCAAAAGGGACTCCACGGGAATGGACTAGAGGATCCTAATACGACAGTGATCAACAAATCTTAACCAAAAAAGTGAAGAATCATCCATCTAATCTTCATTGATGACCACGACATTTTCACACTACAAATGGAACTCCCTTGCGAGACAGAAACTTCCCCTCCTGAAATGTCTCCTTGATATAGCGTGTGTTCTCTATTCAGCCACCCGCCACAATCGCCAACAGCCTACCCAATCGACACTTACTACCATACCCTATAACCTGTAACGCATGATGTTGTACCATTTTCTCCTGTGTGAGACAACGTACAATATTTTACCCCCTTACCACATACCACGTCACGTAAGACACGCAACAAAACAGGACAGCGATTCTTTCTCTCATGTAAAATTACCATTAGATCGTGCATCTATTTTACGTGTTTCATGCATGCCAACTATTAATCAACCAAGATTATGAAACAAAGTCAAAAACTTTTTTTGAAGTATTCTAGAAAGGAATATCAATTGTAACTTGATCCATGAGATGCTGAAGATATATTCCACATTCCTCTAATACTGCATAAAGAACGTACATTAGCCACTCCTTACTGCAACCAACCAAGATCAGAATGCTGTCACCATGTCAAGAATCCAAATATTTTTGAGTCACAAAAAAAAAGCAGCTTAAAATTCAAGCCTCATCCAAAGAGTGACGATAACAAGAGTAGAGCAGTTAGCATAAATGGACAAATGACCGCTGCCGTCAGGGCTAACAGTTCGATTACCAGCTCCGCATACACCTGGAATCGTATTAATCTGATGTGATTATCGACTTCCAAATTACATGCCGCAGAAAAGTGACCACAGTCCACCCCTGCGTATTCACCTTGCCAGCTCTAGTTCCTGCAACATCAAGGGAATAATCACAGTGATGGAAGGAAAAGCTTCCAAGAACTATGGAACTTAGTTTTCAACTTGAAAGAGGCAGTCTGGCCCGTCTTCAAGAAACATGAATAGTGCGATGCCCCAAATAGGGGCACATGACTTCGGGCTACGATACATTATTGTCTAACCCATATAGTTTCAGGCTTGGATCGTGAACTAAATAAAACTTCAGGACAAAAGATCTACTAATCTTAGTATTCCTCTCTCTCTCTCGTTTTTTTTTTCTTTTTCTTTTTTGCTGTCATCTCTAGGTGGAAGAGGTGTCAACTTATATTGCATACATCTAAATGATTATCCATATACAAGTTAAATCAGCTACAGCAAAAGCATCTGGAGAAAAAAATATATAACTGGACATGCTAATAGTAAGCTTTCCATCAATTCTTTATGGTAAATATTCAGCAAGAAATTTTCAGTTCTCAGATGCAAAATCTTTCTTGTCATCTTCCTGATACATCACTTGCGATAGAGCACTAGCAAAACACGTTTGCTCAGGATCTTTGAATATTGGGCAATTAAGGAAAGATCAGCAACAAAGGTGCACATGCTACAAGAGACCAAGTAACAAAAATCTCAAGCTTATAAATATGAGACTAATAGCACATCTCAGAGTATCTCGAAAAAGCACATCCTCATAAGACGTTCAAAACCAAATTGGGAAGCAGATACCAGATTTCTAAATTCTATGAACCATATATCATTAATGTCTACTGATTAGATGACCAATAAGACGGAACCGAGAGAAGTTACCTGAGAAAGTTTCATCTCTGGAATCTCTGAAACTACTATTCATCTCAACTAAACTGGATTATCTTCAGATTCACGCTTGTTGCTTTCTCGAATATGAAAATAGGCAAACTGGATGAGAATCTAGAATACAGTTAAAGAGACTATAGCTGCTAGGAGTCGAAGGCATCACACATAGACAGATCCTAGAGAACTTCAATCATCTTATGAACCAACAAAAGTATAATTCAAACCAAAATCCGTTCTTTCTTATCCTTCTCATTAATGTATTAAAGACATTTTGTAAAATGGAAAACGTCATCATCTTAAATTCTGTTTTTTCATCAAGATGTTTCCAGGAGAAATAAAATGATAAAACATTGACTACTACCAAAGGATACAAAAGCATCCAGTATGACACATCCACCAGCATCAACTAGCCATGGGAGATTGGGCCTGAGTTTAGACCATTCCAAGCTATTTACAAGGATACTGCACGGCAAGATGCACAATATGTATTATTAATTGCTGCTATACAAAAGAAAAGGAAAACAGAAGCAGGTCTATGAAACTTCTCAAAATGCTATTGCTATAGGAAACATTTAACAATACAATCATACCTTCCCACGTAGGTTGCATTTCCAGTCAGCGCAAATATAAACATCAGTGGGTTAAGGCCCTGTAAAAGTAACCAAAGTTTACACACCAAATGCTCAAGAAATTACTCCAAGCATTTAAAGTAAATTTCACAATTGACCATCATTTATGAAATATCATTTTTTTAGGTTGCTAGTGTTAGTGTAAGCTACTCAAAGCATCATAAAAATAAAGCCCTGCCTTCACGTTCCCCCTTCTAATCTGCAATTGATTCAAAAAGGCAATGAGTCAGAATGAAGATAATCCAAATTATTACAGCTATTAAACGATGATAAAAAAAAGAAGGATGACTCCATGTAAATATCCCCTAATAACATAATTGTCCCCATCTAGGTGCTAAATGGACAAAAATGTGCCAAGTATCATAATATGCAATTTACACAGACACACAGAATTCATACACACATTTAAACATATCTGAGGAAGCCTTCCCCCCATATAGATTGCTGCCATTGCCCAGCCAAGTAATGTTCCAACACCACTACTTCCATCATCCTGAACCTTGTCCTGTGAATGAATGGGTTACATATAGTAAATAAATCATCTTGTCCGGTAGTCTAAGATTGTGACAAAGGACTTACATCAAGTGAAGATGCAGCATTAGTCAATAACACACTAAGATTACCTGCAACAACTTTCGGCCAACTAGTATAACCATTCCACCAGGTGATGATGCAGTGTGCATATTACTGATGTAAGAGCGAATAACACATATACCAAAGAAAAATGCAACTGACGGTACCTGAAATAGAAAGATGCGTTTGTACATTGCACTACAACATCATGCAATGAACCAAAAGAAGGTTTTTGAGAAGATACTGTATACTCACAATTGAAAACATATTTTTAGTATCCAAATTAGATGGTGCAGACTGTGGAGATTGCTGATTTCCATCGATGGGAGGTGCCCTTCCATCATCATGTGAATGTACTGACCAAAAACCAAAAGTAGGCACTGGGCTCTTTTTTAAAGATCGTGCTGACCTGGCATTCACAGATTGGTAACCGTCTAAAATTAAGACCACATGAAGGACAAACTGAATGGGAAAAAGCAAAACCACATGCTAGGATTGGCAACCATCCAAACTAAATAAACATGGCTATCATTTATTCTATTCATTGGTAAAAACAACCCATATAAGAAAGACAAACTAAATAAACATGGATAAACACCACAACACTTCTATTCCTTGGTAAAAACAACCCATATAAGAAGAAAAGTCTCTCAACATGACTATCATTTATTCAAGGATTCTTCATTGTTAATCCAGTGAGCCGTAAAGAAATATTGACATTAAGCACATGCATTTCTTGTTTGGACTGTCATTTTTACTAGGATAAAGAGTTGACTAAAGATATAGATTAATTGTTAAATATTCAGCAAAGGTTAATGTAAGAAGGAATGTCATAACAGCATCAATTTTTTTTTTACTGTTTTTTTTTTCATGATCTGCAAATGCAAAATAATAGTTGTGGCCTTTGTCTTTTTTTCTTTTAGGACCTACAATTGAGGTTTTAACCAAATCAAAACAAAAACCAAATACACAGGTATAATCAGCAACTTCCTAATATTTCAACTTTCTAACACAAACAATTTTGATCTTCATAAGAAATGAGAGGGTAAAGATTAAAAACATACATGTAATAAAAGTCTTTCCCACAGGAATCATGGAACACTTGTCCAGCAACAGGAATTGGTGAGCTTGGTAGATTGCCTTCCTTTGCATCATGTCCTCGGTCACCAACAACTCTAGTTTTCTTTGCATCTCCTAACAGGCTTTCTCTTTCTGATGCATCTTCCTGATAATATTTTTGTCTCTGCAATCATAAATACAGGTGTCAAAAAGCTCTCTCTCTCTCTCTCTCTCTCTCTCTCTCTCTCTCTCTCTCTCTAGTCTCACACATACCAATACATACCCAAAATGATAAATTTCATTAGAAATATATGAGTTTGATCCATAGGTTCCAATCCCAATTTTCTTAATGATCTCAATCTGAAAATGTGCAAGATGAACTAAAATATAATTCAAGATGAGAGCATAGAGATACAAATAGGCAAAACTACTCCTTTAACTTTGTCCATGTGTTGCAACTGAGATATGCTGAATAATATATATATATATATATATATATATATATATATATATATATATGATTTAATATTCACAATTCTGTAATCATTTGAATATTCATTGTCAGAAAGCTCAGTTATTGGTGGCCAAATAAGGACATATATAATACATCATGAGCTAAAGGGTAGAAACCAATCTAAACCAAGAATCTGGACAGAAATGATAATTCACACTTCAAGAAGAAACATTTAAATTCATTTGCTACATATTGACAAGGACCACAACGACTAAAGAGTGTCTTACCCTGCCAGGCACTCCACAGTTTGCTTTAAATCTGTGATAAATGTGACCATAATATATAGTTTGTCCTGTCAGAATCAATGTTGTTGCTGTGTATAACTGCAGGTCATATAACAATTACTTAAAAAAGATAAGCAACAGGTTCATAAAAGCAAATAATAGCACCTAGATTAACTGTCTTACCAGTGCCACATAATACTGCGTTGGCAACTGCAAGAATAAACACAAAAATTAGCAAGCCTAGGACCTTGATAATAATTTCTCATTTCATTAGAGATCAAGAGCATTATTCATTTCATTACTGTTACACCCCCACACCACATCAAGCTCAGAGGATCATGTGACAAGGCTTATTAGGATGGTACAATTTTGTCAACAATTACCTTCCAATGACACCCAACAGGAAAAACCCAGACGTTAAGAAGCTCTAAAGTGTACAGCAAACAATAATCATCTAGTGCTCAATTTTCCATAAATAACAAAATTCAGACTCTGCCAAGAGATGTTTATGACACTTACAGTAGCAGGCTCCAGTAGACAGCCAATGAAGTTAAATAAGTCTCTGCAAGTAAATGAAGTATGAGCTACGAGAAAGAAAACAGAAAAAGGCAATGTGAAAAAGAGATGGCAACAATTATATTATCAAGTCAAAGGCTCCTATAAGGAGTGGAGCATGATCTTTGCAGAATTATACCAAAATGAAACCCGACAACGTGACATCAAAATCTAAAATAGGCAATACCCCACAACCCATGTCAATAGAAAAGCAATTGAGAGGCCTTCAGTAGATTTCTGCCGGTAATTTGTGATGATTTGAGGAACCTCTGCAATTCCCCAGCTGATGATACTGATAGTTCCAAGAAATAAAGCCATTCCATCCTTTACACTACAAAGGCAGTACTTCAAGTAGATTCGAGCCCAGTGCGAGCAATGTCGGCTTGACAAACAAACAGGGGGAGGAGCTGATCTAAGAAAACCCATCGCAGAGGATAACCTACTCCCAACCTACACAATTCCAAAAAAAAAAACAGATAAATACTCTAATTCACAACATTAATTGTTCTATCTAATAATCTCATCAAGTTCACAGGCCAGGTTAGCAAAAGATTGATGATCTCAAACATACATACGTTATATACGTATAGAGAGGTAAGAGATATCCATAATATAAGTATGGGTTGTGCTCTTCCAATTTACAGTCAACAAATCCTTATATGAGTTGAATGAAAGGGATGTAACAGTTCATGAATTCAAATGTTTGAGAACTAAAATTCCATGTCGATGGCACAACAAACGAAAATTCATCACTGCGCTACTTATCCTGTTCAGCCATCGAAAAATTTATTACGAGGAAAACAACACTCTTGAACCGATCGTCTTTCGGCATCACGATGACGACCAACTCTTCTGATGATGTGGAATAACGAGTTCCCAATGCCAATATATGAACGATCGAGGAGGTTTTCACCATCAAGATGCAGGAAATCACTCAAAACCACCATGTAAATCTCAAAGTTGCAACAAAATCGAAGGATGCTACCACCTTCGCGATCCCATCGGTAGATCATCCAGGAAGAAAACAGAATCCAAAAGATCACGCAAAGATGGCTACGGCGAAAGCAAGAAACCCACAAGCCAGCACGATCGACAGGCGTAAAGATCAAGAACAACCGCTCCGCGACGAAGCAAGAAACCCACGACCCAACGCGATCGGCAGGCTTAAAGATCAAGCAGCATTTTAATCCAAGAACCGCCATAAGAACCAAAACACGAAAGATGAAAAGCAATAAGCCCACGACCCAACGCGAACGGCAGGCCTAAAGACCAAGCAGCATTTGAATCCAAGAACCGTCCCGCCATAAGAACCAAAACACGAAAGACGACTCCGTCGAAAGCAAGAAACCCATCAAACAACGCGACCGACAGGCTCAAAGATCGGGAATACCTGTCGTTTCCAAAACTGCTCCGCGACGAAGCAAGAGATCACGCTGCAGAGAGAGGGGGGGGGGGGGGCTCCGATCGAGCTTCTCGTAGGGTTTCGCGGTTCTTTGTATCGAGGGTGGTTTGATACGAGATTGAAATAGAAGGGGCTCAGGACGAATGATCGCAAGGCTTAGTGAGGGGAGGACGGGCGCTCGTGGAGCGGTTCGTTTTCAGGGCGGTGGTGTCGCGGCAGCTCGTAGGCGTGCCACGCGGCGCGCAGGCACCGAGAACGCCCGGCCTCTGTGCGCCACGTAGAACCGTCCCCTTACTATTCACACTATTTATCATAATTCCGGGATTTTTTTCACCTGATAATTCCGCGAATATCTCTCGGTATGGAGTATTGATTCACCATTAACATCGATTACTATGTATATCTAAACATACATTGTTAATTTAGGATAATGATGATTCCTTGGATATGTTACGATCGACACCTTAATATCACGTCGAGAGAATGATATATTTAAAATTAATATGTAAATTTAATGAATGATCATGACTTATAATATTTTACTTATGATACACTCGGAAAGGAATCACATTCGAATCCGAGTTATCTTCTAAATAGGATAATGACATCATAATTATATATATGATTATTGTTAATGATGATATCGAGTTAAACTCGATTTTGAGTCGAAGTCCTCCTGAAGTGAATATTTTTTATATAACATGTCGAGATATAGCTTAATATTTATTATGTAACTTATGTCGAGACATAGTTTATAAGATTTTTTTGACGCTCAAATAATTAACAAGATAAAAATAAAAATATTTAACATAAAAAATAGGGTTTATTTATATTTGGAGAGTTTCAGTAAATCATAAAAGTCGGAGTATAGGCAGGGTGCACATTCCCTTATGTTTGTCTATACTTTGATCCAGGCATTGGATTATGATTAGAAAAAAAAAAGAAAATTTCAACTTAATTATTTAATCATCATAAACCTTCTTAATTAGAAAAGAAAGTAAAATAAAGTTTACTTTTACTGTTGTTATAACAAAGTTTTTGGGGGGCACAGAATGAACTGATACCATCACCTCATATGCCTATCGAACACGATGAATAAATACTTCAATGCAGTTTAAATCCGACTCCGGATAGAAGCATAGACATCACGAATCACATGTCGTAGAAATATTTTGCTTGATGTCTGCAAAGTATTACATGAAAATCGAATTACAATCAAACAAGCAGAAACGAATATTTGAAAATTGCACTCCTATTAAACTCCTGCTTTAAAACTCGCCAAGATTACAAAATATAGGCACTCCTATCGAACTCCTGCTTTAAAAGTCATGAAACTACAAAACTCATGCTTGAACTCGACGTTTTCAGCTGCTCTTTCAAAGCTACAAGCCATATCCTCAAGGAGGTGCAGAGAGCAGTGTCGCTGGCGATCAATGTGGGCCCACGTACTATCTTCGACTTCATCATTCATGTGGAGCTAACTCCATAGTCTGGACTGCAGGAGCAGCAACGGCAGAGGACATCATGGAAGGATCTGAACCACTGGATCTCTCACGGATTTCTCGGTACTCTTGACAAATGGCACACAAGTGGCAGAACAAGTGAGTCGTCAAGTCACCACATGGTGCTTCCTGGAGAACATCGAGTTAACACCGTCATCGCAACACTTTGGGAAAAAAATATCAAATCGGAATATACAGGAGGAGAAAAGTTGGTCATCTCAGTAAGTTGTAGATGAAGTTTGCAACAAGGCTAAATGTTCGCTTTCTCTACATCCGACAATCAGAAGCATGCAATAAAACTTGAAATCTGTTCAACTATTGTATTGGTCTTCCAAAAAGAAATTAAGCTAAGAATCAACTACTCGTGACTAGTGCAAAGTTCATGCCTAGCTGTGATGCAAAAAAAATTTAAAAAAATCATGAGTATTGTGGAACTGATTACTGCTCACAAGGTTCAACAAAGGTTTACGGTGGTCATCAACTACCTTACGTGGACATCTCTTTTCAAGACATGGAATCACTATGGCCTGTTACTTTTGTTGTATGAATATCTTGGAATATGGACTAAAAATAGTGAGTTTGTTGGACTCTCAAGATGCTAAATAATTAGCTCCCTGAAAATGGGTTCACACGGACAAAGACAATGTTTATGTTTCGCCAGTGTACCATGCATACTTAGTACTACCAATCTTAGTTCTTCTCCAATATGCACTACCATGTGATTGAGCATGACCTCTGTGCCATGAACTGCAAAGCACCTGGCACACCAGAAATTGTTTCTAACCTCAGAGGTGTAACTGTCCTGCAAAATGACTCCAAGACTTAAGTTTGATAATACCTAGGTGAAGAAATAGCAATGTCTAAACAGGTCCAGATTATAATCAAGCAGTCTTCCAATGAAGGCCAAGTTAAACTTATATGAACACATTCTTAAAAGAGCAGCAATGAGAATAACCCTACAAAAAGAAAAGAGGCAGTCAAATGCTGGAGAAGTAACTGTGGTAGAAGGAGATTTTTGGTACCTGGACCGAGAGATATTATAACACCAAGAGACCTCTTAGAGAATAATGTACTTGAATTTTTAGTACTTATTTGACTGCTATTTTGACAATGCACGTTATAACATTGGAAAATGATCATATTTCCTCTCTTACTTTGCTTCACACAGTGTATTGACATTATAGACTACAGAGATCCATTCTGAAACACAAAGTATCAGCAGTCTAATTACATCAGAACATTGCCTTTGTTGAGTACTAAGATTACAAAAAAAAACTAAGCAATCCTCAATTGATAGTCATCCAAAAAGTACAAATGAATAGATGTAGCAACAAAAAAAGAGATATAGAAAGGAAACAAGAAGAAGAAAGTATTTCATGTAAATCTTTAGTATACTTCATGAAGTGAATATAGAATCTTCTTCCAGAAATGTTTCAAAGTACTGGCATACCTGCAGGTTAAACTTTGCCCGTAGTGTCTTGCGGTATCCACATGCATAACAAGCAACCATTGATCCAGGCACTGCCGCAAGTAGACCTCCAGTGAACAGACAGCAAAGACTATTGACAAGTCCCCACAATATAAAATGGGTCATGCATGACCCGGCTAGTGTTCCAGATCCCAAGAATTCTGCATTTTTCCCAAACAGGAAGCATGGGCATACAGCACCAACACAACCTAAAAGAAAAAATAAATAAATAAATTGAAAGAACTTTTCACCGATTGCTGACGAGCATTTTTGTGAACCTTTTTTATGTAAAAAAAAATCTTCCCAAAACATTAAGAATTTTAAAAACACTAAGCATATAGTGTGTTCTTGAGATTAATAGATTCATGTAAACAATCATAATGAGCACACAAAATATAATATCACAGGGTCAAAGGCAAATTAAAGATAAACTGCTTTTGTTTTGCCTGTACTTGCATCAGACAACTAGGTGAAACTACAATCTATAAATAATATAAGAAAAAAGATTCACATCTTAGATTACATAGAACTATAAACATACCGTGAGCTTTTATAATTTTTAGATAACTCACTCCCAGAATATTCTTTCAGAAAAACAAATAGGTCTCGCAAAATTGTTCTAATATATGAGAACTCCTTCATATAAAGATGAAGAGATTTCTCAAAAAAAAAAAGGGTTCTATCGGTGCATTTCATTTATTTTGCATTTAGTATATTTTCTCTTTCCCAGGTTACAATTTAGCCATGAGGATTCACCTTAGATGATGAACACAAGACAATTACTCAAGGGTATTGACAAAACATTGATATAGGAATTCTTTACAGTGTAATCCACTCAGATTGTTTTGTTTACCATAAAATGTTTGATACATGCCTTAATCTAACTTGAGCTTAGTCTAGAATCTCTACCTGAGCAAACAACTTTTTTCAGGTGTACTAGGAATGCTATTATATCACATTACATGAATAAATTGCACCTTGAATTCTTTTTCTTCTGAAAATCAAGGGTCAGAGGGCAGAAAGTAGCGTACAGCTCTGCATATCATCAAAGCAAGCACAAATTCCAGAAGACCATTGCGTCAGATCACGCGTTGCAGATTGGTGAGAAGAGTAACCATTATTCACAGGAGTACTGTTGGCTTCAGTATCCAACTGATCTAGTGGAATATATGGAGGTGGAACATAGCTGCCTTGACCTTTCATATTCACTGAAAGATAATCATAAAATTGTTTCAAATACCAATACCGAATAAACTTCAGAGAACCATCTTTACTTGAATTGGAGTGGCAATCATTATTGAACTTAAGCTGATAACACCAGACATATTTTTCAGATGTGACAAGAAAATGCAAATCATGGGATCTATAATGCAGCCTGCAAACTCAACCGAAAACTAATCTTGTTCAGACATTAATATGGAGACATTTATTAAAACAACATAATACAGAAAACCCACCATACAATTCTTGATGAACAACTAGCAAAGTAACCTACTATATTTCAGAGTTAGATGAAAATGACTTCAACAAATTGATAGGTCCATCTATGACATCATTGCTAAAGGAGCAAAATGAAAGCCTCAAATTAAACAACATATCCATGATTAATTTCAGACTAGCAATTATAAGCAAAGAATCCATTATAGCACATTTCCAAATACCTTCTGGAGAGTATGGTTTGACATTCTCGACAACAATATACTATCTAAAAAGGCAGCAACTTATGATGCATTCCTTAAAACAAAACCATAAAATTTCTTCCAGGTGCTAAATAATCACATTGACTGACCTTGAGAACTCAAATTCATGAACAAATCATATGAAACAAAAAAAATTTTAAGACACAAGAAAAACATATACCAATAGAAACATATTTAGTTCCGTTGGTACAGGAGCTGATCTGAGAACAAATGCAATCTTTCCATAATTTGCTCCACGGTAAGCAAGAAAAGCGTCAGAATTAGAAGGGGAAAGGCAATGTTTTTGTTGCTTGATCACTATTTAACAGCGGTCCAGCAATAAGGTATCTGTACTCCATATCTACATATACGATACATAAAGACTTAACCAGAGAAGTTTTACCGTTTCTTTACCTTTCAGAGTTCGTTCTCATCTGGTGAAAGAGAAAAGATCGAAAAATAATCTTCAAAGGTTGAATCTATAACACATAAAGAAAGAGCCACAAAACGGCAAGAACCTTTCTTTTGCCTCTCACGGAAAGGGAAAGACGACATGAAATCACCGATACTCATCTTTGGCGAGCAACAAATGCCCTCATCTACCCTTACATCAAAGAAACGACCCCTAGAAAGGCTAAATCAGCTCAAATCCTAAAAGCGGATCATGGAAACGAAGGAAGTTTATAGGATTGAGATCAACATCTACAGGTAAACCTCCAAAGAATTGCGATTCAGCAAGAACGCAGAACGCGGTTCTCGGGACAACGAAAAGCCCCAAACGTTCCAACAATGTGACGATTTCTACCAAAAGAAAGGAAAAGCGCAAAAAAGATCGATCCGTGCAGATTGATTCTTACCGAGGACGCGATCAACTGGCGAGGGCTTCCTCGAATGTATGTTGGATCTCCAATTGGTCTCTTCCTTTCCAAAGGCCAAACTCTCCCTTTGTTCCTCCCTTTTCCCTGATCACAAGAAAGAAGAAAGAAATCGAATGGGGGAAGAAATAAGCGGAGACGTCGAAGACGCGATGGTCGACGTCTGTTTCAGGGGTTACCCAAACTTAAGGGTATATTTGATTTAATCTTTTTTGCAAGGGGTTTAATCGCACATTACTTCATAGAAGGGGTGTAATTGAAAATTACTTCATGACAGGGGTGTAATCGAAAATCACTTCATCGTTTATCCGACGGCCGAGATCTATCTTCAGCTACGAAGATGGGCTCGATCCGGTCGTAGAGATCGATCTCGTGTTCTTGGACTCTCGGATCTCTTCCCACTCCAAGGGAGGCGACGGGATAGCATCAAGGCGAAACGTGATCGGAGTCAATGGGCAACTCGCCCGGCGATTGGAGCAAATCAAGAAAGGGGAAGTTGATATCGAAGTGATTACCAGCAGGATTCAGGTTAGTGTAATGGGAAAGAAAGAAGGCATTTTCAGTGAGGAAGAGATTGTCTCTTAGACGCATTCTTTTGTTGGCGTTTTCTGGAGTCTGATAAATTTGGGTTATTATATGTTTGGGATTTATAGGATGAGGATGAGTTTGACATTGGGTGGAGTCTGTTCGAGATGGTGGAACGTCAATGTTGGTAGAAATTGACCATGAAAACGGCGCAGTTGCAAATGTTGGGATGAGAGATGAGGTCAAACACCTCAAGAATTCCTCGACCAAATCTAGGGTAAGCTGACAGCATGATATATCATATATGTGCACGGAATAAAGATGAGTTGGGATGGGGGTTTTAATGTTCAAGAGAAACGTTGGAGGAGCACTCCTACATTCCAACTCTTGGACTAAGGATGTTGATCTTGGGCTCGGAAAAGATGGACTTTGACAAGGAGAAAGGCTTGCTAGGGTTCTAGGCCAGATAAAGATTTGAAGTCTTCCTCGTTCCGGTATTAGATGCAAAAAGAAGTAAATACATTGTCGTAAATTAAAATTCAGCTGATGTTGGATGAAAAGATCGATTGATATTGTGCGTCGATGTCGGTATCATATAACAGCTTGAAGCCTTGAACAAATGGAAATAGGAAGGTTGGCTGGCGCAAAGTCAATAAGAGAATTCGTGTTAAGAAAAGACTATGAAGTGCCACTAATGAATTGGAGGACCGAGTAAAGAATAGCTGAGGGAGAATTATAAATGAATCAAGTGAAATGTAAATAACTAGGAGGCAGAAGAGATTGACTGGGTTAATTGAATCTATTTGGTCAGTGCTCGTTGCGCATGGAATGATTTCTCCTAACCCAAACAGACATTGTTCCGAGACATGGCTTGAGCATCAGATGAGATAGTTTTTAGTTTAGTTTCCAATGTTGAAAGCATAAGAATGATTTACTCTCTCGCTGAAGAATTCTGCTCTCAAATGTGTTACAAGGCCATATATTTTAACATGTGTTGTGAAATCTTGGCAGTGTTGTATAGTGTTTTACATGTCTATTGCAAGCTCGGGTGCAAAGAATTAAACATATATATGCTTGAACATGTTGTTCTGTTGGTTCATTCACTCATGGAAAATGATGTTTTTTGCTGGGGGGTTGGGTGGTTCGCAAAGTTTGTGTTTATGGGTCGCTCATGAGCATTAGTGACAAGATAATGGTATGCATATACCACTAATAATATTTATTATGCAAATATCAGACCCTAACCTTGATTTCAGTATGTCGTGTTCCTTTACTAGTGTAACTGCAACAAGCCTAATTACTATCTATAAGACCCTACTGTTCATTCTTCTGCACTAACTTTTTATAGTCCTTCAATATTTTTTTTTCAGTATTTTTTTATGCCAACATGACCATTCATTCTCATAATATAACACTATTGGTTTATAAGCTCTTTGAATTTTTTTTTTTGACTAATTTCATTTTTTTACTTCTGAAAAAATGTCAGTCATGAATTTAATATATGGACAAGCACCAGTGGATTCTTATTCTTCCCTTGAATTCTTTTATATCAAAACATTGCATTTGATTGTTCATGTGTAAAACTTTTCATCATGTGCACTGAATTCCTGGACTATAAAAGATGGTGTGCATGCAAATTATGTGGACCTATTACAAAGTATTATGTGTGTTTGTACACACACCAACAGATAGAAAGAAAGAGAGCACCATAATATTTGTATCAAGTGGTAGATGGAATAGTTTAGGGCTTACATCTTTGTTGGGTCTTACGGCTTTGTTATTGTTTTGTTGTAGTAGTAGATGCAATAGTTCACATTAGTGATTATGTTAGTTGCTCCATTGTGGTTATGAGATAGAAACAAATTGCAACATCATTTTAAGATTATTAACCTTAGCATTTTGTTTGTCTATTTGTTTCTGATTAATTTTCTACCTTGAATATTCAGGTCCAAATGCTGATATTTTTCTTTATAAATAATTTGTTGCTAGTATTTCTGTCAATATTTCAGCTGAGTAGTGCTATGAGAATCATATCCTCCAGTCCTTTTTGCAGCAAGGCACATATCCTAATATTGCTGCAGGAAACATGGGTTGGTGTTGGTAAAAGTGTAAGCATTAAGGGCTGTAATCTATGTTTGGCACTATGGATGGTCAGCAAAATAATATATGTTGTACAATTCACATTGTTTTTTGTCATTAAGGGCATGCTAGTGAAAGAGAAGAAGTTTTGTAGGTCAGGCATTGAACTCTCAATATTTGACATGTAGCATAAAATGTGTGAACGTTAAAACAGTATTGTGCATGTTGATGACCCAGTGGCTCCATTAATACAAATGCTAATCTTCATATATTTGGTTTAGCTTTTTGAGATCATCACTCCACAAGAGGTATCAGCTTCAGCACAGGGTTTAGCATATTCTGCCATGCAAATATGCCTTTAGTATTACATACCAAGGTGATAATCCTTTTTTCACCTTTTGTGCAGACTTTTCCAGTCAAAAGCATGCGTGTGTCATGCATCTCCCTGTGACTTTAAAGAATTCAAAAGCTGCCTGCTTGTTGAGGTGATAAAAAGGATTCCCACCATCAAAAGACTTCAAGCTCATCAGTCAACTCAGCCTGTTAAATATCACCAGAGGTGGGCCTGTGATTGTTAAAGTAGGCATGCTTAGTTTGTAAGCAAATAGAGAAGGAAGAATCGATGCTGATATCTTGATACATTCTGTTGCACTGTAGATCCTGCAAGAAAGTTCCTGATGTTACTTTCAGCCACTGGAACTCCATCGATTCTTGCTGCTGCTGACACCGCACTAACTTAGCTGCTAAGGTTATGACAGAGGCATCTTTTGGCAAATTTGGTTCTCATTATTAATCCAACATCTTTCACAGGTGCAGAAGTTGTAAGCAACTCATTTGTGGAGAAGGGCAGCATGGACCACTAGTCATGCATGCATCTACAGATTCTTATAGAGAGGAAATACATGGGTAAGCATGACTCTTTGTTCTAACTTTGTCCAGTGAATGATTGTGACATGATGATGATAACAAATTTACTTGGTCATGCTTACTTAGGCTGTCAATGGCACTATAGTTAATGACTTGCAAGCCCCTCCTGGTCTACCAAGATTACTGACATATCCTTTGTTTGACCTTTCTAAAGATCATTGTTTAAGAGCATAGAGTTGACCATGCAGCTGGTCAGAAGAGTAATATAAACATATTTCCAACACTATCACCGCTCATCATATCGTATTATTTAGGCCAGGGGAGACTGGAATTACAAGAAACAATGATGAGCAACAAGGAAAGTTATTACCTATAGCCATCTGCAGATGTCATGGGCATCATATATATGTTAAGATCAACATGAGAATATTCTGTCTCAGTTTGATATTTTTGTAGCTCTTGGAGGTTGTGATCCCTGATCATGGTACTCCCATGTGATGGTAATTGCAGGAACTGTGAATTCTTAATGGCTGGACAAGGAGGACCCATTCTAGCTGACTTGGTGCATGGAATCAAACAGAGATGGGGCTCAGATCTGAACCATGATGCATCATCATGTAGTTTTTTCTCAAGACTGTTTGGATGATACCATCATCTTGATCCTATGGGACCAAGTTTGTCTGGTTTGAGGAAGTAAAATGGGAACCCATCAAACTCTTCTACTGCTTTACTAATGTTTCAGGATTCATTAGAAATCAGAAAAAAGCTTTTCCCGACTAACTCTCTTCATCTCAGATTTCTGTGCCAGTTTTTGTCACTGCCACATGAATGCGTCACAATGATTAAAAGTGCAGGTCTCTTGGAGCCACCATCTGTTTGAACCTTACCTCATCAGGCTGCTGCATATGGATCTCCATCATGGCTTGTGTTCCTTCTCCAGATGTGCAGAGATGAGGAAGAAGTACTACTGCATCCTCTTTTTAATGCAGTTGCCTGTGTGTGTGTGTGCGCGCGCCTGAGATCACCCATGTGTTGCTGACTCACATAGATTCCTTGTGGAGGCCCAGTGGAAGCATTGAGTTCTTTGGTGTATACACATGATTCCAAAATCACAAAGCTACTTTTGTGACAGGGCTTAAAAGCAAGGGAGGCAACATCCACCATGGCTGGAGAGAATGAGGTTGCTTGGGTCCCTCCAAAGGTTTTAAGAGCCTGACCATGAAATGCCAATGGTAAAAGAGAAAGGTACATTAGCTGTTCCTTCACCAGAAAGAGGATTTATTACATCTGATTCAAAAAGATATATAGCATTTTACATTTCAAAGTTTGGATATAGCACATTTGCCCCTCAAAACATAGTGTCCCATTTTTGTATCCTTTTAACTATTTAGATATTGCATAATCCCTTAATAACTTTTACTTGTCATTTGATTCTTGATTTTTTAAACTTCAATTTAGAGGGACAAACATGAAAATTAGCAATTTAAGATATAATATCTAATCCACTAGTAGTCAACCAATTGGTTCACAAGGGAAGGAGTCTTTGCATTTTCCAGCAAAGGCTGGAGTGGTAGTGCTTTTCTTCATCACCCACAGCTAAGCTTGTTGAGAATAATCCAAATATTGTTGTAGAGGTCACAGCATAAAGCATCCTACTCAAGCCTTTATTAAAGTTGTGGACCCAACAAAGTTGTAGGCAGGAGGATTGATCCTTGGAATTTTTTTTTTAAGAAAAAAATTATTTATACACTCTCAAGGTCAGTAAAATTTTTATTTTTAATTTTAGTTCAGCATATGTTGTTTTTTTAATATAAAACCCTGCATATATGTCACTATAAACTCTAAGTTACTTTAATATATTTTATCAACTTGGATGTATTTTAGGTATTTTATTTATTGATTATTTTTATTTAGATAGATTAATATTAGTCATGATTAGAAGTAGTTAATGATAACATGCTTAGAGGATGAAAGAACATATATAATATACTAATATTTGCAACAACAAATATGCTAAATCTTACCCACTATATGTATGTCACATTGTTGAAAAAAGTTGTTTTATGAAAATTTTAGTTGAAGCTACTACTAATTCATATAGTTAATTTAGAATTATCACATTCCTATTTTTTTTCTAGGATCTAGAAATCTTATGTGACAGGATGGAAAGGCATCATCAAGCAATCTAACATTTCTCATTCTGCAATGCTAAGTACAATTCCTCCAATTCATGAATTCATTCATTAACTTGTGGATTTTGTTTACCTTCTCCAAGTACATCCTTGCACTTAAAGTTAAGACAATATGGCACTAATATTTTATGAGCATTAAAAGTCTGACATATATGTAATACAATAGTGTAGTTGGGCCTAACATGTCACCATCATAACAAATTAACTCATTAATTTGATGAATTTTAATCATTAGTTAAAATATTTAAGTCGAAACTAATTATAATAAATTCATATAGTCCTCATATACCAACTCAAATTTTCTTCCACTTTCTAGGTTAAATTGAGTTATTACATGAAGATTAGTAATTATCATGTTAATTCACTTTCATTGGTAGTGTGTATGATAAGAGATAAAAGATATCCGCTGAATAATACAAGACAATGGGATGTAGAGTGAGATACATTGTGATGTCATTCACAAATGACATTTCATAGAATTAGAAATATGACAACTTAAAAATGTTGAGTTTATAAAAATTGGCAAGCTAAGTGTTGGTAGAACGATAAAATTATTCTTTTACGACTTGAAATATTAGGATTCGATTAGAGTTACGAAAATAGTCTCTTTTATGTTAACTCCTCAAAATTCTATATCGACAAAAGCCTCTATTGTTTCACCATATTGACTATGTATGACCACTGTACATGGCTGGATTAATGTTTTATTTTCCTTAAATCTTTTGATATATATATATATATATATAGTAGAAAAATCAAGTTAATCATTTTTAGTTATGATTAACATTAATTTATTTTAGTTAAAAAAGTATATCGATCTTATAATATTTTATAATATATTTAATAGTCATCAATTAAAGAAAAGTAATTTCTCTAACTTTATTATAGTTACTTATTATATCGAAAAAAAAGGGAGAAGACCTCTTCGGGGAATACCAAAATTGGAGAAATATTTGATATGAAATCAACATAGAAGCCAATCAATAAATCAAGAACAAATAAATAGAAAAATTGGTTAAAAGATCATTATTAATTTAATTTATCTTAAAAATAATTTTGATTAGTAGAAAAATAAATATTTATTACTTAAAATAAAGAATAAATAAAATTATATTCATATAGAAAGTAAAAGATCAATTAATTTATTACTTGAAATATTTTTATACAATAAATCTATTGGTGAGTTAAAAATTAAAATATACTTATAAAAAAGGGAGTTTTATATGGAATTAAAATATATTGGTGAGTTTTATAAAAAAAAGGACTTTTAAAATTAAAAAGTATAAAAAATTAGCTCTATATGCAAAGAAATTGAAAACGAGAACTGTATTTTTGAATGAATTAAAAAAATCATAACATTAAATTTTTTTCACAGGACGTCCTGAAAATTTTCGCAGAGCTTTTTTTTTAAGAAATGATCATTTTATTAGTCATCATTCTTTATCGTGCCTCCACTCTATCAAATGGTCCTTTCATCCGTGTGCGTCCAGTTGTCCTATATTTGACAGTCTAGTCTAACGATTCTTGTTTATCTATGGTAAATAATCACAATCCTTGTCGGTCACTTTCTCTATCCTCCCCTTGTTGTCTATGTCTTTGTGCAAGGGTTGATCGATCGACTAAACAATCGGGAGGATTGATCGATGGACTAAATAATCGGGCACTCATAGTAATAACACGACTAGGGTTGGGTGTGATTAAAAAATTTTAAATAGTAAAATGATATATTTAAACTTAGGATGCTCGTCGGAAAAATCAGTATTTTTTTTCGAAAATTTGCCCCTTTTTTTTTTTTTAAATTGCCGTTTATATATTATTTATTCTTATATTTACACTTTTTTTCGTTTTTCTTCTTTATTATTACAGAAAAAAGGGGGTTTGGTGGACCCCTACGCGGTCCCCACCCCCACCCCCACCCCCCACTCTCTCTCTCTCTCTCTCTCCTCTGCTCTGCTTTCTCGGCCACTGAGATCCTCCTCCACCTCTCTCTGTCTATCTGCATGAACTCCCACAAGCCCGATCATCCCAAGATCCTGGTCTGATGAGCTCTACAACAAGATCTATTGCTGAGCAGAACCCGTAGCCCCACTTCTCGGCCTCAGGTGCCCCGAATCGCCTCGATTTCTCTTCAATTATTGCCTGTTTCACATGCCTCTTGCTCGATGAATATATATCGACGTTGTTCGATCTGTTTTGGCAATCGGTTGCTCGGTTACAGCTTTCTCGGTCTTTCTTTCACGAGAAAGTATTTCTTTTACCTTCTGGTTTGCCTCCCACTGACAGATTGGTTTTTACAGAGAGGTCGAGGTCTTGTTATTGAGGATTTTTGGTCGTGAGTTGCATACTCTTTATTAGGTTCGTCTTTACTATTATATGCTGGTTCTTGTGACGACGAATGATTTTTGCGAGATTCCAATCTGTTGCTTCGATTTCGAAAGTTGTGCAAGGCTATCGATCAGTTATCTGTCATGGATTTCACCTTCTCTGTTGGTTGGATTTGTTCCTGTGTCACCAATGAATTGAAAAAGAAGCACTTTATCTTACTCGAGATTGGCTTCGGCCGTGTTGGCTATCCATTTTTCTTAGTGGGAAAACTACGTTTCTATCACATTCATTGTTCGTGATTCCGCTTCGAACACACATCTCGTTTAGTTGCTTTGTATTAGATCTTTTCTGCAATCTGCACGATGTCCGCCCATTTGAAAGGTCCATTTTCACGCGTATCTATCTTGATGAAGTTCATCATGGGATTTCGGAATAGGTTTCTGATTGAAGTATAATAGAAATGGTGTAGGATTAAGATAACTATTCTTTTGACTTGTTTGATGCGTCTTGGATGCGATGTTGCATGATGAAGTCTCGGATAAAATGGTTTTGGTGAAGGCTTGCGCAGTCGGTTTCAGTATATGGATGTTGAATGTCATATTTGATTTTGGATTTCATTGGTTCTGATCCGCAGTAAATGGATGTTGAATGTCATCTTTGATTCTGGATTTCATCCGTGTTGAATGGATGTTGAATGTCATCTTTGATTTTGGATTTCATCGGTTTTGATTTGCAGTAACTCTCCAACCTGAACCACTGCATAAGTAGAAATTGTTCTTCTTTGATCTGTCTCTCTGGAGGCCTATTAGAACATCCTTCTTTGCTTTAGATGGCTGAAGGCCTTCTACACAACTATGTCATTAAATAATGTTTTCGCAGAATCATAGCTTACGATATGCTGGAAACTATGTACAGACTTGTGGGTTCTTGATCTCGAAGGAATGGGGGCTACAAACTCAAGGATTGAAGAAGACAAGGCCCTTACACTATGTAGAGAGAGGAAGAGGCTTGTGAGACAGGCTCTGGACGAAAGATGCTCACTTGCAGCTGCTCATGTTTCTTATATTAGGTCCCTCAGAGAGACTGGAATTGCACTTCGAGAATTTGTAGAGACTGAAGCTCCCAATGAGTCTTCCCTTTTTACAACAACATCTGCAACACCTGAGCCTCTTGCTCTGACTGATACTCCGAAGCACATTGTGCCACAATCAGATGAAATTCCATCCTCTGAAACTCCCCCCACACATTCTGGGACAACATGGGATTTTTTTGCCCCTTCTCATCCTATTGACAACCAGCTTTCATTTCAAAATGGGAGAGGATTGAACCGTGGCTTTGATAATGCTGATGAAATCAGACGCCTCAGGGAAGAGGAGGGCATTCCAGAACTGGAAGAAGATGGAGACAGAGCCTCCACAAATGAAGAGAATGACTTGGACTCAGAAGATGATTTTGACCACCCATCCAGTGAACCCTTAGTACAAATGTTTGAAAATCGAAATCTCATTTCAGAACATCTATTAAAAAGCGAGTCCGCAGCCATTCAATCTGAGAAAGATATTGTTTCTGAAACTAAACATCAAAATGGGGATGATATGAAGCTCACAAATGATATCAGTGAGACCGATGAAATGACGCCAACAAAGGCAGCATCTTATATAGTCTCAATTTCTATGAATGGAAAGGGCAAAGAAACTGATCCAGAAACTAAGAATGAGGCAAGAGATCTTTTGTCATGCATGTTAGAAATTGCAGATCTATTTCTGAAAGCTTCTGAATCTGGTAAAGAAATTCCAATGATGCTGGAGGCAAACAAAGTGCAATTTCGACCTTTATTTGCTGAAGAAAAAGGTAACACAATAGTAAATTTTATAGAGTTTCTACTTACCATTGCACGGGAAAAAGATCCAACCAAAGGTTATGCTGCAGAGTAGCATCAAACATCTCCCAGGCCAGATATGTAATTGTCCAAGGCTTCTATCTGTAGATGTGCATGCCTATGCATGTTAACACTTTCATTGATTTTTTTTTCCTGGTTATCCTTTGCATAGAATTACCCAAATAGACCCATAATGCTAAATGTGTTATTTGACTTCCTTGCATAATGTATCACCTTCTCCTTTTCATAATATAACTAGGGAATTTACAATCAAATCTCTTATGCAGCTCATGCATCGAAGGTATCTGCATTCATCATGAGCTACTTTGCTTGTTGTAAAGAAGAAACACCTCATCCTCAGGGTAGGTCTACCTCGCTTCCTTTACAATATTGTTCCTGTACTCGAGCATTGTTCTTCTCATCTATAACTGTTAAATTTGAAATCAGAGTCAAACTGTTATTCTAAGGTACATGATCGGGCAGAGTTAATGAGTTCTAGTTCTGATTGTGATTTCGGACATTTAATAGTTGTAGACATGTTATCCATAAGATTTCTGTCCACGTTGGTATTTGTGTGTGTTTTTGTTGGAGGGAATCTTGAGTAAAAGAAAGCTTTTGTGATTATGAAGCTTTTAATATCTTGAGTTCTTTTGGTGATCATGAAGCTTCTAACCTCTAGAATTTGTATTGCAGTTTCTGCTACAAATGAGGTGAAGTACTTAACATGGCATAGTTCAGTGTCATCACTCTCCTCATCATCCAGGAATTTTCTTGGTACAACAATGAAAGATGATACAGAGGAACCAAGCAGTAATCTCTTCAATAGCATATGCATGAATTCAGGTAGCCATGCCTCGACATTAGATAGGCTATACGCATGGGAAAGAAAACTTTATGATGAAATTAAGGTTGGTTAGTCATTTAAACCTTATACGCTTATAGGAATTAATTATTTATTTATTTGTCTTATATCCCTTGTCTGTTTATCTTGGGTAATTAAATCAATATCTGAGTAGTTAATTTAGAGTACTAGAAATGAGTACAAGGGAAAGAATTGATGTTCCTAATCATCAAAAAGAATATTGTACAATGGTTTGATACAGGACCATCGAATTTGCGTTTTTTGACTGCATATAATTGGTATTTAATAATCAACATATCATAATTGGTCAATGTATACTGGGGGCTTGTGGTTTGCACTATGGACCAGCACATTTTACTAGAGGCTTGAATTCTGTACTCTATTGCTAATTGTATCCTTTTCCAAAATCAAAGGGGATTCTGGTATGTGCTCATATTCGTGAATTAATATCTGTTTCATTGATTGAGTCTATAATTTACTTCCTCCTTTTTTTTTCTTAATTATTACATATTCAGTGGCATCAGCATACCTCAAATGCCTAATAATTTATTTGTATCAGCATACTGGAATAGACTCTATTCCATAAAGGAAAGATTGTGTTGAATGATATCATTCAGAGCTATCATCTGTTTAAGCATCCTGCTTAGAATTACATATTTGACGTAATGGTATATCTCATCTCTAACTAACAATTGCAGTTCTTCTATCAGCGTTGTTACTTATTGTTGTCATTAATTCTTTTTTGTGAAGAAATTTTGTTACTTGGATGTTGTTTGTTCATAAAGATGTTCCAAGACAGTAACCGTCCATAATGATCCAGCACATTTCTTTTGTTAGGCCCATAATTTCCTTGTTCTGGGACCTGTATATTTTTCCTCTTGAGTTTAATTGCACTGCTCTTGCAACTTTCTATCAGCTGTCTGATTAACTGCTATTGCAGACAATATCTAACCATTTTTCTTTTGTATATTTCAGGCATGTGGTATTTTACGGAGGGATTATGGCATGAAGTGTAGGCTGTTGAGGCATAGAGAGTCCCAAGGAGAAAATCGAATAAAAATTGATAAATCACGTGCTGCTGTTAAGGACCTTCATTCGAGAATTCATGTCGCAATCCAGAGTATCGATTCAATATCAAAGAAAATAGAGGGGATAAGGGACAAGGAGCTCCAACCACAGTTGGAGGAGTTAATTGGAGGGTATAATTCTTTTACCATCATTCATTATTATAATCATTGCTTGCCACACATGAACATGTAAGATATTCGTATTGGCACTACCATAGTTTGTTATGTACACTTAATTGCACAAGTGTCATACTCTTTCACCAGAATCAACTCTAATCATTCATAGTACTTAAAAGTTGATGTGCTTAAAGTCTCAGCTGACCCCTGATCAAAATAGATCCAGATGGGCTTCAATATGCTGGTCACAGTCAAATTAGCCTGTTTTGACTGATCATAGCCACAGACCAACCTATCAAAGGAGGATCTCCCTGATGTGAAACTCCATATTCAACCAATTATTTTGGTTTTACAGGCTCACCCTCCCTCTCTCCTCTAAAATCCACCATGATTTTAGGTGTTTTTCAAGTATGTTGATCTTGATAATTGTGTTACTTGGGTTTCTTCTTTCCTTGTAGAAAGATGCTACTTTTTCTAGATGACCAGGTTAACTGTCTTTTAAGGACCCGATATCTTTTATATGGCAAGAGAACTTTCATGGAGACAATTTTCTTGTAGAACCATATCATAGAGAAAAAAATGGGGTCACAAATGAGGTGAGCCTGCACAACATGTGTGGCTGTTTTCTTTGTAGCCTTCTTTCAGTGATGCGCTTATTTATTACTTGCGAAACAAAACAACTGGTGAAATTTTCTTTTACATATTGGACCTGCATCTTTATCTAGTTGTCTGATACTATACATTCTTTTCATGTCTGTGACAATTTGCAAATGATTTCCAATTCCTCTTAATCGTTAGGTAATCGCATTTACTTTTGCTGATAGTTGCCTCGTGTGATGTTCTTGAACCTTTGTTCCTTGAATTTGGTTGACTAATATATGTTGCCTCTTGTTGCATGCAGCTTAACTAAAATGTGGAGAACGATGCTCGACTATCACAACCGTCAGTACAACATTATCATGTCAGTTAGCGACAATGGGAACACCAAAGTTTCAGTTAGGTCCGAGTCGCAGCATCAGGCTGCTGACCTCGAGTTTGAGCTGAATGAACTGAGTTCAAATTTCACAGGATGGATGTCAGCACACAAATCCTATGTTCAAGCAATCAATGGATGGCTTCTCAAGTGCATAGACTCAACAGTAAAACAGAACAAGTCATCTAGAAGAAAGGCCCAGCGGTTCTCTCTGAAAATAGACTTGGCTCCCCCCATCTTTGTTACTTGCCAAAATTGGTTGGATCTACTAGAAGTACTGTCGACTGAGGACGTGGTTTCTGCTGTAAAAGATCTGGTAAATGCGACGACCCATTTCTTGCCTCACCAAGAGAAGGGTCATGGGACTTCAAAGTCATCTTTCTCGTTGCCGCGGAATGATGAATCAGGAGAACATGTTCTTGCAAATGATCCCTCTGTTGATTGGAGTCTGAATTATGACCACCTGCAATCAGCCCTCAAAATCTTCTTGGATAGCCTGAAGGCTTTTGCAGCGTCATCGGTTTCAAAGTATGAAGCTCTCCAGGTATCGATTAAAAAAGCTAAAGAGCTTTATGAAGGAAAAGCAGAAAAGCAGGTTTAGGGAATAAAATCAGCCATGTCTTCGGCCACAAAACATCATAGTGTTGGTGATAAAACCACCTTAATAAATAAGTTGGTGGAATGAAGCTTTTGAAGTATATATATATATATATATATATATTGGAGGGTGCCTTGTACATCTTTTTTGGGAATAAAGGGGCAGTTAATGGTGTTCATGTAAGTAGGATTTAGCCGTATGCAGATGATTTATGTACAATGTAATGAAGGTTAGCTGGAATTAGGAAATGCAAGGCAAGAGGTTATTAATACAGTTTACCAGATGTTCGGATGATGATGAGTGAAGAACCATCATGATGAGATTATCAAGTTATACTGCAAAGCTTATCTTTCAAAAGATGTTTATGCTTACTTACTGGATTTGGATTGAGAAGGGCCAGCTGGCATGTGATTCATAACATAGATTCTGTCTCTCTTTCTCTCTCTCTCTCAAGGAATACTGCAATGCTTGTCTTCAAAAAGATGTTTATGCTACTTGTTGGGCTTGAACTGAGAAGGGCCAGCTTGCTGGCATGTGAATCACAACATATATGCTGTGTTTTATCATCTCTCTCTCTCTCAAATAATACTGCAATGCTTATATTCAAAAAGATGTTTATGCTACTTGTTGGACTTGAACTGAGAAGGGCTGGCCAGCTTGCTGAGATGTGAATCACAACATATATGCTGTGTTTTATCATCTTCTCTCTCTCTCTCTCTCTCTCTCTCACACACACACACATTTGAGGACATTAGCAGACAAGCTGGTCTATTGCAGTGGTCACTTAAATTTGTGATGTATTGATGTACATGATTGTTACAAAATAATCCAAATCCAAAAATATCCTCAATTCCTTTCTTCATGTAAATGCTTTTGATGGAAAAAAAAGGGAAGACTTACTTTATGGAGTCATGGAAAAGCAAATCAGTATGTTGCCACCAATCAACAGTGGTTCCTTTTTTTCTTTTTTGTGGTAAATTACAAATATATGGATTATCCAATGAACTAGTGTTTATATACCTCATCAGTCTTAAACAAAGTTCCACAATGATCTCTTTTTGCCATATAGAAGGCAATCAA